CCATTCAAAATCAGCAGGCCCAGCAAAAAAAAATTGTAAAATCGAAGTTGGAATAAGTAACATTTTCTACGCCTTGATTACTCCTCCTTATGTTATTTATTAGCAAAACTTGAGTATGTTTTTCTTTAGGAAGACGAAGCTATTCCGTTAGCAAATGAATGAACCGCCTGCATCTAAAATCATTAGTCCTTCTAATAAAAATTACAGCATCAAAGCAAAATGCGAGGTCGACGAAGTGATGGAAAGCATACCACTTGTAGTAGAGAGCTTCACGATGGCATACTGACGTCCCGTGGGCATTGTGTACACTCGTGGTGGTCCCCGAACAATACCGGTCACTTCAATGTGATTTTCACTGCAAAAGGCCAATTTGTTATGCAAACGTGAAGAAATCAAGACATTAGAGGGGATTGCAGCGCCATTAATGAGACGGAGCAACACTCCAAGCGCAAAGTATTATCTCGCCGAAAAATTCCCTTCTACAGCTGATCACTGTAACGCGCCTTATTAAAACCAGAAGTCGAATCTTACAGAGAATGAATACCCTACCTACCCTCTTCCAGGAGAGCAGTCAGAAATATCCGGGTAGTGGCATGTATTAATAAAATTCCTGAAAAGTTGTTGATAGCACCTTCCTCCGAGGGTAAGAAGTAAGAGTTAATGATGGATTTAACTCCAGTAAAATACACCACTACCAATTTACTATCAAAACGAATGAACAAACTGCTGAGGAACCGAGTGCCTCATTGGTGGAATGCAATTACCGACTTCTAACGCGAATTACCGACTTCGATAATTGCAACGCTTGCCAGCATTACATATCATCCAAAATTACACGACTATTTGTTCCGAAAAAGCCAATGTCAGTGAATACAGGAATCAGCAACAGGGAGAAATAAATAGCGGCGCGCACCAGGGCAGTCGGTGCGATCATGCGTTTTGTGTAATTACGTCCATCTAATGTACGATTGCCTGCTAATGATTTTTCAGTGCTCTGAATTTAAATTTGAGGAGTTGCATGCGAGCAGGGAAAAGTTCCCCAAAATTTCAGCTTCCTAGATTCCGCGATCCCCGAGATAATAATTTACCTGCCAAAACTTTCATGGGGTGGTAGGTGATAAACGATGGCATGGGAACGTTGAATATGAATCTGTGAGGACGTAAATTGGCAGGGATCATTACCTTAAAATTTCAGCTTCCTAGCTTTTGTGGTTCTCGAGTTGAAAGTTGCGGACAAATTGTTGCGTAAACACACAAACAAAGATAACCCTGTGACAACATGCGTTTTGTATTGCTGTTACACAGCACAAATCGTATAAAAAAGCGAGGAGTGGAACCTTTCGCGATACCCTTTTACAATATTTGACCAAACCAGATGGGCATTCTTCAAGCATCTGGCAACACAACCACAGAACAACCTATGAGTGCAAAGCATTTTGCTATGTACTATCCAGATTTGCTGGGATTCAACAGGTGCCTCTGTGTGACAGCGTAATCATTAAAAACTGCATTCAACCAACTCGTTGCACCTAAATCTTCCTGAACATACTATTAGCATTTTCTAGGATCCCCGGTTGTTAATTAGACTGATTACCCACTAAATGTAACTGGTGAAGGCTCTGACGACCCCTTCCTTCTCCAGATCGTAGCTCTGTTAACAGAGCATCTGTAGGTATTACCCATGCACACAAGCTTTTCCTGTCTGTCCTGTTGATGAAACGCAAAAATTCTTACTCGAAGTTGTAACGAGTTCGTGCATCAACGTCGCCTTCCGAAGCAACGAAGTCTTCCGTGTCCGCTGCAAAATGCTCGGCTGCTGCAGCAGCAGCATCATCGCCACCTTCTTCCAAAGGCTTTTGCGTTGCCAGACCTCGCCCAGCAATCTACAAATTCTGAGCTGCCAACTAAACTTATAACAAAGAAGCAATGCCAGACATCTCGGAAGATCTGTTCAGCGAAGTATCGCTTTACGGGAGTCCGAATTCATGAAGCGATCTGGTAGCAGAATAGCCCAATTATGCTGGCGCACAGAAACACGGCAACTTCTCACAGACATATCTTCCCATGCTTTTCTCGAGACTCCAAGCGCTCACTTTTCGCGCCCTTATGAGCGCAGGAGCAGCAACTTCTCTGCTGCACCCTCACTACATGAACCAGTGAGCTCAAATGAGTCTCGTTGCATCACAAAAACACAAAACAGAAATTCACCTGTAGCAGGGCTGCTTGTCGCCGAACAGCCGGATATCGGAAGAGTGTGCGGGCAATCGAGTGAAGCATCGCTACTCCCTGAAAAATCCACCTCAAATTCCTGGCTTGCATACAGTCCAC